TCTTTTTTGACAATTGACGCGCGAATGGGGCGTGTTATGAAAAGGGGCGTTTTACAAAATACCGGGCCTTGCTTGCAGGCCCACTATCAGTTCCCTTGAGCCTGCACGCAGGCCAAGAGTCTCTGAAATGCCATTTCCTGGACTTTGGGGAAGATTTGACAGAGTTCTGATGGTCAGAAAACAGCGTTTTAATATGTCAAAATTTACAATTTAGTAGTACTATATGGGCGAAGGCATATTTAATTAACTATATTTTGGATAAGTTGCAAAAAAGTATGGGTAATATCTTCATTCTTTGCAGTTTTGCATGGATTAAATGATATAAAGGTCTGCATGATTTTGAAAAAAGAATGATTAGCAAATTATTGGGGGGGCTGCAGCCCCCAGGCTGCCCCCCCTGGTTGCTACGGTCCTGTGTTCATTGTCATCTACCTTGGGGGAGGGGGTGAGTTAAGGTTTGTGTACCAGGCCTGAGCATGCCTGCAGAAACTAATATTATATAATAACTAAAGTGAAACATGCGATTTGATTGGTCAATAGACGTGCAGGATCAGGCTATCCTGTACGAGGAATTAAAATGCCTTTGTGGGATTTTCACGGGATTCTCAAAATGTCATTGTTTCACTGTAGTTATTTTATAAAACAATTATCAAATGGTTTTCCAAGCAGGATAGCGTGATCCATGCACTTGGGATTGTTGCTTGACTTTCAGAAAGCGTAAAAATACACTTGCCTGCGGCTCGAGTATTTTTACGCTTTCCGCAAGTCTCGCGACATATCCCTCGTGCATGGATCACACAATCCTGCATGGAAAACCATTCAGTATTCCTTTAATCTTCACTAACAACTGTTGATTCACATCAAGTTGAACAGTCTATGCCAGCATGGGGGAAGGTATTGATAATAACACCAGAAAGCTGAGGAGTGGGAGGGATTCAACGCTTTGAAAAATACAAGTAAAACTTTTACTTTCCGAGCGAAGGGGCTTTGTTGGGAAAGTAGTTGGTTACTGAACTTCGTTGGTTACTGCCTTCAGTAACTTTGCCTTTGCTTGAAACATCAGAGATTTACTTGTATTTTTCAGGTTGTTGAATCCCTCCCAATCTGAGTTAGGCCTTAAAAAAACCTCTTTGGTTCCAGTTTCATATCATGAAAAAATTAGGGTTGGTAGGTTAGGTTGGGAATAAATTTTTTTTAAATATTTTTTTCATGGTTTTGGCAGTTTTTTGCTGGGCGATTTTCAGTAGAGTCCCAACATCAATATTAACTAGAGATGCGTATTTCCTATGGACAAATTTAGGCAATTTGGTTCAATAATTAGTGTGACAACAGACGCCATTTTGGCACGCTGTATAAGCAGCCTGCAACCACCCGGAGGAAATAGGGTCACACGGTCAATTGCTTTGAAAAAACAATAGGGTCGGCAGAAAAAAAATAGGGTAAGTTGGGAACCGGAACCACAGGTATTTTTTTAGGCCTTATATTATTTCTTCTTCGAGCCTCACATACCTAGTTCTTCTTTGACAGAAAGGTTATCATTAGAATTAATCATTTCATCTTGTGTGGGTCTTTCATCTCTCACCATTTCACCCTGTTCAGTTTCTATGTTAATTTGTACTACTGCATTGTTCACCATTGCACCTTCAGTTCCACCTGTCTGTTTTGTTCCATCAACTGTGTCGACACCATCTATCCCATCAACTCCCTCAGTGTCTTTGGTTGCTCCCTCGAGGTCAGCGACAGTTTCCGTAACTGCAACAGATTCCTCGGGTATGCTCATTTTCTCATTCCTTTTAGATCTAAAGCTATCACTCCGTCCCGAAAGGGATATGCTGTCCTTTCTTGGTGATAAAATTTGTTGAAAAACCTCATCAATAATCATTTTTTGTCCAATACTATCATTCAATAAATTTTTGCTAATTTCAATGCTGGATATATCTTCGCTCACACGTCGAACAGAAAGATCTGGTTGGCACGTATTGACTTGCCCGAAGTTCGAATCAATGTTTATATCCGCTTGAATCGGTTTGAATTCGTCTTTTGCAAAATGTTGTCTTTGTTGATTTTCCGATTCTGGTGATTTTAACATTGGTTCATTACAGTTCTCAGATTCACTGAGGTTTAAATTTAAGTTCAGTGGAATAGGTCCTGTTGGACTCATGCTACCAGAGCTTGATGGACTCCGTCTTGAGTTCCGTTTGCTTAGATGTCCTTTCATCGATGTCCGCCGTGCTTCGCTTTGTGTCCGTAATCTACGATAAGTCCTTTTCATAGTCCAGCTCCTGTAGTGTTGCTGGATAATCCTTGCTGCACGGTTCGCTCTCTCCTTTCCACCATAATTCTTCTCAAGCAACTGGACATGTCTGTCCGAGATATCAGGTGAAAGTTCGTAGAATGACTTTCGGTTTTGCTTCCTGCTTTCACTTCTACCGAGCGTGGCCTTCTTCGGAGAGAGGCAGGTAGAGTTTGGCGTGCTCGATAGTGTTACAGTAACTTGACTTTTACCATCAACGGTTTTGCTGTTGGACTCTGGGCTCGACAGCGCAGTGGTATAAAGTTCCGATTCGGTCGTATTTGGTGAGCACACTGTTAGAGAACTGGAAATATAAATAAATAGAAATATAATACATACAATATATACATATGTAAAAATATATACATATAACCACATTGTGTCTTCAGTTACACGTGTGACACTAAGAATTGAAGTCAGAAATTCAGACAGTCCTGACATTTTAGACGTTTTGCCATTCACACAAACAAATCTAGAATAATTTATGGCAGAACAACATTCTTTAGCATATTTTATGGTTAAGTGATTTTGACTAGCATAATCTAGAAGGTTCAAATATTTCACATAGTTTGTAAAATATAGTAAAATTTGTAGGTCTGGCTTGCTGAAATTTAGAAAAATAGGGCCCCTCAGGGCACCAGCTTTGTAGCAACACTGCTTAAACAAAGACACTCTCCTTTGCCAACAAATTGTAATAGAAATGAGTATATTTATTCAGATGTCACAGCCCATATGCAAAATGCAATTATTTATGAGTATAAACCACAATGTCAAGTGCCCATGACTAAATATCACGTAAACATCCAACACATTTAAAATCTATCATTGTTATACAAAACAAACCCCATTGATAATTGAATAGAGTGACCTATTAATAACTATATAAATCTAGAATGTACAATAAAAGACTATCAATGTGGTGAAAATAATACATTGTTGATCAAACAACAATATTATACCAGCCTTTTATAGAAAACTTTAAGGCAACTTCATGTTCACATTGACTTTACAAGGGTTTGTAAATACTGTACATATATGTTAAGTTCAAAGTGCTTAACTTTGGGCATCGCTGTAAATTCTTGTGAAACTAAACAAACAGCAGTTAAGCAAAGGCCATTATCTGCAGTTATACAAAAAATTCCCTGAAGAAAACGTTTGCTTATAAAAACGTCACATGCATGCCTTGTATGTTTATCAACCACAAAGTACTGTACTAATGCATTTCCAGAATGATAACTGAGCACCATGCTGGGAAAGCATCTCTTTAATGGCTTTAAAAATAGTTTGAGGATACAATACAGTATTGTGAAAGCTGCGAAATTGATATGATTGGATACAACTACATGAAAAATATGAGCAGAAATTCAATGTTTCAAGTGCAGGCGAGAAGTCAGTTGCCTTCAGCATTAATGGAAAACAGTTATTATAACTGGAAGGGCTACCATGGTAAAATTTTAACTCAATATAATGCTAAAATATGCTACAATGCACTCTAATTAGCTCTATTCCATAGTAATTTTGATTAAGCCATTAAGCTGCAGTGCACCCTACTTTATTATTTTACTCTGTCTAATGCCAGACATTTTACTCATCAAAGAACAAATGCTGGCACTCAATGGATTAACTCCAAACAATTTCACTAGCCAAGGAAAACATGTTGGCATTGAGTGCCATAACTTTTCCTTTATGATTATAAGATTGTCTAGTGTTACTTAGACAAAGGAAAATAACACGGTAGGGCTCAGTGGCAGTTAAAGGGTTAAGCCATGTCATGTGTTAGTCCATCAAGCATTCAATCTGCAACACATACCCTAAAAATGCATCCTATTTTATTTGTTTTGTGTTGGTTAAACGATTATGCCACAATCAGGGGAATTACCGATTGTCCCAATTACAATTGGCTTGAGTCTGATTGTTCAAAGCAGTTCTGCAACTTTGTTCACTTTTTTTTCTGTGCTGGTGTTGCAGGGCTCAAGACTAGCAGTATCCCGATATTCATGGGATACCAGATTTTAATTTTGGATACTAGATATTATAGGCTTAGTATCCCAATGGGGTACTAAAAGAATCGAAATATTGGCGAAGTTTGTATGTCGTGGCAAAATGTTAGTAAAAAAAATGATAAGATGTTTTGTAGTACTTCTTACAGACCTGTCTGGCAGTTATTTACCTTGTTTGGATACCGCTTATCGAAATACCTACTACCCATATCTGGGATACTAAATTTCAAATAGGGATACTAGATTTTAAGACCCTTGTATCCACTTGGATACAAGTAAAACATTCAAATCTTGAGCCCTGGGTGTTGTGTACTCAGGTGAATATAATGTTTGTGGTGTACTCAGGTGAATATAATGTTTGTGATGTTACTCTGAATGTATATCCACACCGGGCGAGCTTGAAAAATATGCCCGGCCACGGAGTATTCCAAAGGTTGTAGGTTCGATTCCCTCTGCCAACTGTTTGTTCACTTTGCATGTATGTAAATTGGCATAAATAATTTCAACCCACTCTTCCCTCGACTTGTAAGTAAAGTAACACAGTGTAAAATAACAAAGTAGGGTGCATATAACACATTGAGTGGCAGCACTCTCCCCTTGGCAAGTACAATCAACTGGTGTCAGACAGAGTAATATAATCTGGCATTAATTTAAACAGAGTAAAATTATAATAAAGTAGGGTGCATAATGCATTGAGTGGCAGCGCTGACTCCCCTTGACAAGTCAAATCATCTGGATTAGACATAGCCTGCGTGGCAGGCCCTCAGTTTTATGGGGGTGCCCGCCAAAATCCTGCCCGTTGCAAATCAGGCCCCCCATAAAACTGAGGGCCTGCCACGCAGGCTAGATTAGACAGAGTATGATAATCTGGCATTAAACAGCGTAAAATTATAAAAAAGTGGGGTGCATAATCTATTGGGTGGCAGCACTCTCCCCTTGGCAAGTAAAATCATCTGGCATTAGACAAAGTAATATAATCCAGATTAAACAAGGTAAAATTATAATAAAGTAGGGTGCATAATCCATTGAGTGGCAGTACTCTACCCTTACCAGGGTTCGAATTAGCTGAGAAAAAATGTGCAACTTTTTTAAAAAAAATAAAGCTCTAAATTTTTATAAATTAGGTTCATGATTGTCTTAGCTTACTGTACTCAGTCAAACATCTACTCATTCAAACTGCAATAATTTAGTTATTTAAATACTTTTTAAACGTTTTCGCGAATATTTTGCTGTTGGCTATCGCGCAGCTGAGCCTAGCTTTTTTAAAAGTTCTTGCACGGGTCAGGACAAAAAAAGCTATCTTGAATATCAGTGATATCACTATAACCACAATGCAAAAAAGCGCTACGAAAACGTAATAAGGGGAATCGTCAATTGCACATTGCACACTGTTAGTTAAAACCCTGACCCTTACTCTAATTACCAGCCTCTAATGACTTTGCAAACGAGATTTCAACATATTTCGGCTAGGTATTAAAACAGACAGCTTCGGTCTAACGAGTTATTCCCAAAATAATCAGTTGTATACAATATGTGTAACACATTGACAAGTTACTCCCAATTGTCTAGACATAACATGTCATCACGTTTATACTGGACATTAATATATTCATTGGAAGTTCGAAGCTAATGGCTTAATGGTGTAACAATGTATATTACAGTATGAATGGGACCCATGCATGGCACCTTACCAGCAATTTAAATTTTATTACCCAAATATCAAACATATTAATATAAGTTGTTTGTAGGTGTGCATGGAGATAAAACATATAATACTTTTCGTTTGTGGAAACACCAAGTAAATTTATTACTGCAAAGCTTTCGATCCGTAAGCCCGGATCTTCATCAAGCGTAAAAAAAAAACCTGGGGTTCCGGTTCCAGACCAACCCTATTTTTTTCTGCCGACCCTATTATTTTTTCAACGTGATTGACTGTGCGACCTTATTTTCTCCAGGTGGTTGCGGGCTGCTCATACAGCGTGCCAAAATGGCGTTTGTTGTCACACTAATTGTATATATATAATTATTGAACCAAATTGCCTAAATTCGTCCATAGGAAATACGCATCTCTAGTTGATATTGATGTCGGGACTCTACTGCAAATCGCCCACCAAAAAAACGCCAAAACCATGAAACCATTTCCGACCTACCGACCCTAATTTTTTCACGATATGAAACCGGAACCACAGGTATTTTCTCTTACGCTAAACAACATACAGTAGTAATATGTAGTAAAGCAACATATAAATAGTAACATATTGGTAAACAACAACTTAATTTTTCCATTTAATACCAAATGTTCATTGAAATATGAAATAATTTTTCATAATTTTGTCCGCCTGAGTTTTCCAACTGCAGCTCCGGCAAAATATGCCGGAGCTCCGGCACTGGCGGCACACAGCTCTAAAATTTATGTGGTGTTTCCACAAACAAAAAGTATTATATTAGTATATGTACAATACAATATATAAAAATTCTTAAATGGACAAATTAATCAAGAAAGGGAAAGTATGAGTTATATAGGCAAAGAGAAAGTAGCAAAGACATGATGACAAACAAAATAAGACAAACATATACATACAGACCAGGCATCATTGGGTTCACCAGAATATCTGGCAATGTCTCACATTGTTAACCCATTAAATTAAACCATAATAATGAAACCCTATGGTATTTTTTTATATGCGACAACAGATGATCCTCATAGCAGGAAATAATGGTAGATCCTGTCATCTAGGATCCTAGAAAATTTTCAGACCTGGCTTAGCTGGCAGAAAATTTTTGGGCATTGCATAATACCAACAGAAAATACAGAAAATAATTTATTAGGAAGAATATTAGAATATCAATTAAATAATATGGCAAAAATAGTATTTCCTGCTATGATGATGATACTTGCCAAAGGAAGTACTCAACATTGAAATGGTTTGAAAACAAGAAAAATACAAAATCATGTTTACTCCTCACAGTATGGTATGGAGTTTATATATTGCAGTCCTGCGTGTAATCATATTGTAGTCCCACACATCTTAAAGTAATGGCAGGCATAGTATTATAACTTGTGATATAATATCGATAAGGGCAGGGAGGAAGTGGCATAAGGGCTGTGACCGCTTTTTACAATGAACGTGTGCTGTTTATGTCACAACACACTTCAAACGCATAACACTGATGCTTCGAGAAAACACTGTGATAACTGTCTAACTATCAATTACAACTTCTAAATAACAATTTACAGATATCATTTATACAATGGGCATCATTCATTTGAAATCATATATCATTTTGTGTGCCATAAAATTTCATGGTCTATTAGTCTTTTTGTGCCAAACAAAAGTTCACTGTTTATTTATCTGTTACATACAAATAAACACAGTGAATGTCATGTTTATTTGAGTATTCTCAAACAAATTTGAAGTTGAATTTGCTTTCTAAAATGCTGAGTACACCCGACACCCTATAATTTGATCTCAGCACTAATGTGTAACAGGTCGCCCATTATTAATTAATAGTGTCCATGCTATATTTACAATAACATATCCCATATAAAATGAGATAATTCCCAACTATGAACTATACCTTAGGCAGGGTAATATGTTAACTATACAGGGTATAATCGATACTAACCTTTTACCATGGTGTATATACGGTTAACACATAATTTGAAGTCATATAGGCCCGCCATAGAGGTCTAAACTACTAAACCATGACTATTATATCCGTTTGAGACTGCCTATTTAAGAATACCACTTTTCATCAGGACTAACTGTCGACAGTAACTCCCGGGATTGGGAGATTATTTCGCTATGGATCACGGATATTGCGCTGTATCGCTGGATACAGCCCTATATACCGGGTAATATCAAATAATGTTTAATTTGCTTTTTAAATGGCAGCAAACTTTTCACTTATGATCGACGTTCAAAAAGCTGAAAGACCTACAAATGTTTGCTTTTAGGCTTTTCGTGTCTCATTAAAAATATTTAAACGACCAAGGAATAATTTTAATGTGTAAATATTAAAAAGAACAGTACACTTTTAAGTGTCATCAAAGTATCAAACACACTACCTTGGTCGTGGAGTCCCATTGCTAATGTGACCATTTTCGGCGGCCCTATTGACGCTATCCGTCTGATATTTCTCCAGCAAGCCCTTTAAGCCTTCGTTTTCAATTTCCAATTCTTGAACTAGACCGGTAAGCCGTGAATTCTCCGCACGAATGGTCTTAAGTTCGTTGTGCTTCTGGCGAAGTGATTCATTTTGTGCCTTTAGCACTTCTTTCAATTGCTCGACCAAAGAGACTTGATTCATACTCGTTTCTTGGCAAAATCACACCGCATTTGACTGTAAACATACATCACTCAAACAACCTTGTATTCAGGTAAAATGTGATTGCCTCATCGTATTTACTTTGTTAAAAAGCAAGCGGAAACCATATCGCTTCCTCTGAAATGAAGGCCGAATTTCAAAACAGCCATTTTCCTACTCGATATTTGAGACCCAACTTGGCCAAACACGTGGTACAATTGCACCAATCACCTGCCGAGGATGCGTCAAGCACTTCCGCCTTTGTTGCAAATTTTTGCAAGATCCTCAAAAAATTATCAAAAAACTTTATAAAAAACTGTTATTACTTTTAGTTTAAAATTCTTTGTTTCTTCTAGTATATTTTGTTCACTGAACGATATTGCATGCAATATATGGTATCAGAATCATGTGGCATTTACATAAAACTGAAAATATTTTTTTGTATTTTGTTTTCTTTTTGAATAAACGCAACACATACTATGTTCTTTTTTGTCATGTCTTTAAACTATATGCAGACCGAAGATGTTAGAGCGCTTCTAAAGACTTGAAAATCGAAAAATCGTGCTTCCTTGTCAGGGAATTGCGTCCGGTGTGCCTCGGTCTTTAAAAAAAGTGAAATCGGAAAAAAATGTAGCCCACATTATATGATCATATGATATAAAGCACTTCCGCCTAGCAGGAGTAGGACGATAGGCGCAATTTTTACCGTAAAATTCTTATTTTTGAGACAATTAAAAATTCTATTTAGCAACTGAGAAGCAGCTAAAATATATAGCATGATCTATATTGCCGGGCAATCAACTTCGCAAGCAAGCCAGGGTGCCACGGTCTTTATATCCGGCGCACGCGACAGCGAGCGTGCGGAGGTAGACCCCAGCTTGAGTGAGGTTGCCTGGCAATGTGCCTGATATCTCTGCGATTGTTCACCTGCTGTAATGCTATATTTATACACATTAACGCGGATAATCGTTCGTTTACAATCTGAGCTCTACAATCTAGCTTGAACTGGTCACTATGAGTTGTAGACGCAAACTATGCAGATATTAGTATAGATTTTCATGATACACAGACGCATTATCGATGCTCTAAGTAGCCTGCGAACAGGCCCTGGGTTGCGGGCGGCGCGAAGAATAGAGGGCCTGCACGGATGATAGGTTTTCTTGGTAGTGGCGTTCGTATAGAAACGCAGGCTTCTGATTGGCTTACACTCGTTGACAAAATTACTAAAAATAGCAAATGTCAACAACAGCATTTTGAAGAATTTGAACTTTATTCATTTTAATATTATATATTATAGGACTATCGAACAAATAAAACTAGAAATGGAAACCAAAAGCAATAGCATCACAGCAAAAAAGTCTATCATAAATGACTTGAATCTATCGCTTAAATCCAATATACGAAACTATAACAGTATTCTGAACTTCGTCTTCGGATTGACATCAGACCATAGTATAGTACATTTTGAGGTCGTCGTGGCTTCACGGATTATTCTCATTAGTGAGCAAGTCAGCAAGCGAAGGCATACAAAAGATACCCAAATATGTACGAATAATTATATTGTCGATCCTCGCTGGCATGTCATTTAGATAAATATATATCGTACATTAAACGTTGTACTGTTTACTGTATATTAACTGCTGACAATTTCGTCGTCGATACGGCTTCCACTATATTGGCACACTCGTGATTTCGAAGAAATTAATAAATACATGCTCATTTATCATTTATTTAGACCACAGTTAGTAAAATTTTAAACGTATTCGGTATTCCAAATCCCAATCTATCTGACCGTATTTTAGTAATAGCTTCAAAATATTCAGAACATTGTTCTTTCAGTCGCACATAGTACAAGTATTACTGTACATTCAAAGCCACTGGTAGTTTATTCGGCTTTATATTTGTATGTGTATTGATATCTATTTAATATTTGAAGAATTCTATATTTTTCCGAGTAATATATTGTGCGGCCCGCTAATGCTTTGTATTATTATTGTTCATGTTGCACAATGTACACGCCTTGCGTCAATTTGACAGTTGATAGTTTATTTATCGCAGTCGACGCTGATTGGTTAGCGTTTAGCAGATGCGAAAAGGGGATGAATGAATAAAACGCATGGTTCCGTGCAGGCTCACCTTTCTCCCAGTGAGCCTGTTCGCAGGCTATGCTCTAAGGAACAAGCCGCATAGAGCTCTAAAACACTCTGGTACTTAAAAATATTCCTGTTCCACCTAGAAATAACCCTATTTTGTTTGAAATAATTTCAACCGAGCACTTCTCTTAAGAGGGGGTTCGCCAAGTCGGCTGCTGAGCATGCAGGCTACACAGTCGCTCTCGCGAAAGTCATGGGTTTTCACCGGGTGCTCCGGTTTCCTCCTAAAGGGAAAGGACAGCTGGGTGGGTTAGTATAAACATACTGGGTTAAGAAAGTAATCACAATTGTTGTAAAGATAAAATAGTCTAGGCTAAGTAGGCGCATTTGATCATATATCCACATGTAATTTTGCGCTACTAGAAATTTTAATCTTAAGGATGGTTTACACTATCGAAGTTTCTGTGATCACAGTAGGAATTTTGCATGGGCAATTCTAAGTTTTGAATTAGGACTTACTGATGTTTGATGGAACTGAACTCAGTGTTAAACAATGAGTCAGTTCCAGTGGCGTAGCGCTCATTGGGTAGGGCTAGTTCAAAAACTAAAGGCCTCCAACAGTTAGGGGCCCCATCACCCACGGCCTATCGCCCAGAAAATTAGAAAATGTAAAAAATGCAGGTTAAGAATCAATGGGAAAATGCAAAATTAATATAAATGCTAAATAATAAAGCCTCCATCGACAACGGTAGCTGATTTTTTAATTCAATCTCAAGTAAACAAATGTTATTCTTATTAGTTGTTAACTTGTTACATGTGTTGGAGACTGTTATTGTTATAGGCATGGAATTTTCCAGAACATTTTATAAATATTCAATATAAATATAATATCTCAGTCAAACAATGACAACAGGGGCCCCCACACCAAATATGCCCAAGGGCCCCCTGTTCCTCCGTTCGGCCACTGGTCAGTTCCGGCGAACATTTCTTAGAAATCACTTCAAAACTTATTAACTAAAATGCAAAATTAACTAAATTCCTACTGTGATCACAGAATCGAAACTTTGATTTATTATACTCGTGTTAAAATGGACAATAGATGTTATAATGGGCAGGGACGCTTCCCCCCCC